CAATGGCCTGCTCACAGGACTTTCCAAACAGGCTGTAAAACAGCTAAAGTGCCAAAGGATTTAGAAATTAACAAATTAAATAATATACCTATTGTTTTAGATTGTATTATTCATTATCATTATTTATTATTGTAAATGCACTTATTTTGTCACAATTAAAAAATATATGATGATAAATAATGACTAACCAATACCAGGCTCTTTCACACCAATATACCCCCAACATTTGCTGCTTAAAGGAGTAGCTCTCTGCCTTTATTGTCCCGGGAAAGTAGCTCGCCGGGTGAAAAAGGTTTGAGACACCTGATGTAAACAATCTGAAGTACTTTAGTCTGTTCTGAAGTACTGTAGTCTGTTCTGAAGTACTTTAGTCTGTTCTGAAGTACTTTAGTCTGTTCTGAAGTACTGTAGTTTGTTCTGAAGTACTTTAGGGCGGCAGTAGCTCAGTTGGTAGAGCGTTGGCCTTTGAGCCAGAAGGTCGTGGGTTCAAGCCCCGCTCAAGACTTTCACCATCGACTCCCACTGACTACTGTCGTTGTGTCCTTGGCAAGACACTTAACCTCTGGGAACACCAGCCACAGTGGGGGCGGCTGCGGCTGTAAAGTGCCAAACTGCCGTTGTGTCCTTAGGCAAGACACTTCACCCCCATTGCCTAGAATGAGTCTGGTGTGTGTGTGAATGGTTGGTGGTGGTCGGAGGGGCCGATGGCACATACTGGTTGCCTCGCTTCTGTCAGTGTGCCCCAGGGCAGCTGTGGCTACAGTAGTAGCTTATCACCACCGTGTATGGAGTGAATGAATAATGACACATGTGAAGCGTCTTTGAGGGTCCAAAAAAGCGCTATATAAAACCGATGCATTATTATTATTATATTAGTCTGTTCTGTTCTGAAGTACTGTAGTCAGTTCTGAAGTACTGTAGTCTGTTCTGAAGTACTTTAGTCTGTTCTGAAGTACTGTAAGTCTGTTCTGAAGTACTGTAAGTCTGTTCTGAAGTACTTTAGTCTGTTCTGAAGTACTTTAGTCTGTTCTGAAGTACTGTAGTCTGTTCTGAAGTACTTAAGTCTGTTCTGAAGTACTTTAGTCTGTTCTGAAGTACTGTAGTCTGTTCTGAAGTACTGTAGTCTGTTCTGAAGTACTTTAGTCTGTTCTGAAGTACTCTAGTCTGTTGTTTGGGATCAGTCGGGTCCAAAGAGCCCTCTGTGTTTTTCCTGTGTACGAATGATCTTCTTTAATTGCTCACAGTCGAAGCTTCTCTAATTTAATTTCTCTTTATTGCCACTCGCCTGAACTTCTCTCTGACTCTCACAAAAACACTTTCCCGTCCATTATTCCACTGTAGTCGCTCTCTTCCTCCCTCAGAGACCCAACACCTTTCCATTCCAGGTCTCTGCTTTAACATTTCCTTCTTATTGGTCTTGGCGTGGGTTCTCCTGAGCTGCGTTTGCATCAATCCGACCAAAAAGCCTTTTCTGATCCTCTCTGAGTTCAGGAGCGAGTCTGAAACATTGCTGCAGATAAACCTTTACTCACGCTGAGGATCCAGAGAAGTGTGGTCTGCAGCGGCCTGCTTCAGCACCAATGGAGCGGAAGAGATTTGTTTGCAATTTGTAAGTCTCAGGAGAACAAAGCAATTACACAACAGTTAACCCGGGTCTGGATTGAAAAGGACACGGCTGACGCTTTAGGGAAGACTGTTTATCCCCGAGGTGTGCGTCGATTAAGACAAGTTTAGATTATGATTGTTATTCTGTAACACAGCTGTGACTGCAACATGTCTGTGATGTAGATTCAAGATCAATCAGCCGGACCAGGTTCTAGGACTCACCACCAGGGTCTAGGACTCACCACCAGGTTCTAGGACTCACCACCAGGGTCTAGGACTCACCACCAGGGTCTAGGTCTCACCACCAGGGTCTAGGTCTCACCACCAGGGTCTAGGTCTCACCACCAGGGTCTAGGTCTCACCACCAGGGTCTAGGTCTCACCACCAGGGTCTAGGTCTCACCACCAGGGTCTAGGTTTCACCACCAGGGTCTAGGTCTCAATGTGTGACGACTGGGAGCATTCTCAGTGAATTCTATCATCAGGACGAGTTGGAAGAGTCAGAGGAAGTAATAACAGCAAATAACGACGAACACACAACTCCAACAGTCAAGAAGAGATCGACAACTTGGTTACAGACCAGAAAGGTAAAACCAGGACCAGGAAAACCAAGTGGGACATGAACATCACAAATATGTGAAAAGCATTGGTAAAGACACAGACTGAGAACTTACAGCGGGCGCCTCAATCCTCTGATCAGTCCATGTCACAGTTTGACAGTTCGGTCAAATGTGTTTTGAGTTGAAACCGATCGATATTTACATAAATTAAAAATAGTCATAATAAAACATTTATTAACCTCACTTGAAATATCAGACTTTGGTCTGATATTTCTCTGTACAGACCTGGCGCTCGTTTAAAAAGCCGTTGTTATTTAGCGCATTGTTACAGACCAAGGTCATCCAATGAGTAATTCTCGTATATACTGTCTGCAGAGTTTTAGAATTTATGGTAAGAGATTACCATGGCAACCAGTAAATAGAGAGTAGAGAGATGTATTGTAGCAGGTTATAGCAAAGATGCTGATTTCCACCTGTCCCTGAACACCAATCCGAAATACAGTTCCCCAACTTCTACTAAAATATTACTATTTTATTTTAATATTTGATATTTTAGAGATTTCATGACACTCTGAAGAAACTGTGGTTAAAGTTCTAACTCATCATTCTTGCACATTTGTTTACCAAAAGCTTTCATTGGTGCAGCAACCCTCCTCCTCCCCGTCACCGCCTCGTCAGCCGGACCAGGGTCTAGGTCCCACCACCAGGGTCTAGGTCCCACCACCGGGGTCTAGGTCTCACCACCAGGGTCTAGGTCTCACCACCAGGGTCTAGGTCTCACCACCAGGGTCTAGGTCTCACCAACAGGGTCTAGGTCTCACCACCAGGGTCTACCACCACCAGGGTCTACCACCACCAGGGTCTACCACCACCAGGGTCTAGGTCTCACCACCAGGGTCTAGGTCTCACCCCCACGGTCTAGGTCTCACCACCAGGGTCTAGGTCTCACCACCAGGATCTAGGTCTCACCACCAGGGTCTAGGTCTCACCACCAGGGTCTAGGTCTCACCCCCACGGTCTAGGTCTCACCACCAGGGTCTAGGTCTCACCACCAGGATCTAGGTCTCACCACCAGGGTCTAGGTCTCACCACCAGGGTCTAGGTCTCACCACCAGGATCTAGGTCTCACCACCAGGATCTAGGTCTCACCACCAGGGTCTAGGTCTCACCACCAGGGTCTAGGTCTCACCACCAGGATCCAGGCCACAATCCCTGTTTTCATTTCCCCTTCTCCATTCATCCTGCAGTGATCTGTCTAAGGCCAACACATAACCACATTTCACGTACTGTAGTGAGTAATATTTAATTATATAGCGCATTGTGACAGACCAAGGTCACCTAAAGCGTTGGTAGAAGCCAGTACTTTTCCACTGCATGTTTTGTTTTCTGAAGGCCAAAGCTACTGGCACCGTGGCCGATGCTGATTGGAGGACTTACTTACTTACTAAAACATTTTTCTGTCTGAATTAAAGACACAATCCCCAACTTTGTCATCTTCAATATTTTTATGGACTTTATCAACATTTATGGACCAATGTCTCTGTTTGTTATCACTGCCTTTACTGTGTGTGAACTGTTTCTCTGATCTGTGTTGGAGAATCGACAGCTTTGTAAAGGCCTCCGAGACTCTACTGTTGAGATTTAGGGCACTCGTAAATGTTTATTCACTCGTAAATGTCTCCATTATGAGATCGTATTGTGGGGAAGTGTCAAACTTGTATTAAAAGTTGTAAAACAGGAGATTTATTTTCCACAACAAACAGTCCTGAGGTTCACTGGGAGCTTTTTAAACCAGATGGTTCCACCCGTTGGGAACAAAATGGTGGACTAGGACACGCCCTCTTTTACAGGTACAAAATATATTTATAAAAAGAGGCATTAAAGTGGACAAAGTAACCCACTTCGTCACACTTATCTCATCTTCAGTCAGGTCTCACGGTCTCACGGTCTGGCCACAAATACATCCGGGACTTCTGTGTCTGAGAAAGTCCACCCCTGGATTCAGTCTTTTCCCCTTTGCCTCGCTTCTCTCTGTTCTCTCATAGAAGAACTATTATGCATTATTAAGGGCTATTCAAAATCATCATAACACTTTTTACTTCATATCTTCAGTCGCAAACATATAGTGTCAGAGGAACCAAAGCTAAAGTGTTTTCCGCCTGTGATTCCCTGTGCTGCCACCAGAGGGAGCAGTTACATTTGTTTTGTCATTTTCTCAAATACTAAAATGGCCGTGCAATTAAAGAGTGACTCTAAAAATACATGATTCTGTGGCAGCTTTAAATCATGCATTAGAGAAAAGTTTTTTACCGAAAGATTTCAGTCGTGCAGCAATCCTCCTCCTCCCCATCACCGCCTCATCAGCCGGACCAGGGTCTAGGTCCCACCACCAGGATCCAGGCCATAATCTCCGTTTTCATTTCCCCTTCTCTATGCAGTGATCAGTCTAAATGTACACCACGTTTCACATACAGTAGCAAGTAATCTTTTATCAATACAGACCAAGGTCACCCAATGTATATAATGTCTGCAGAGTCTTATAATTCATGTAGTGAGATATTACCATGGCAACCAGTGAACACTATTCTGTCTGTCCGAGCCTCTCCAGATTGAATTAACCCACAACCAAATATGTGGCTATTGGGGAAAAAAAGTTAATATTTACATCTGCAGAAATCTCAAATTGGTTTTTCAAACGTGAAATTGGTTGGAATTAGTTTGTTCTGGTGACTTAGGCCCATCAGAGTCGGCCCGTGAACCTCATGCAAATGTGGCCGCGCCTGAACTAATATTGATGGAGATGAATTCAAATGCAAAAAAAACAAAATAAAAATGGCTAGCAGGTGTAACCGTGGACGTTAGCGCAGTTAGCATAGCTCTGTAGAACCACGCGGAGGCTTTCCACCTGCTCGATAGTCTCCATACCCCCCAGGTTCACGTTAATCTGCCCCATTTCCAGGTCCGTGCTGCAGAATCCTCTCGCTCGCGGCTGCATGTCCGACTGAGCTGCCCGGGGCCCACTTCTGCTTGCTTTCAGATAAACCTCCGGGCAAACCCACAAAGCTGCTTTTCTGAGTGTAAAAATAGGATATCCATTTCATTTACACTACAATATGTAATCATAACATTCACACTTTTCAATTCAATTCAATTCACTTCTGTGTTGGTCTAAATCACACCGGTCGTCTCGGGTTTTACAAAGTTGTTGGTTCGATAACAACAACAACTACTCAGGAAATGCAATAATAACAAACTCACGAGTCCCCAGGGAGCGGGACAAACGCTGACTGTAAGTGTTAATGAATGTCCAGAAATGTTCCGGATCATCGCTGTCCTTAGACCAGGGGTGTCCACACTTTTCAGTAAAAGAGCCACTTTAGTTCATCAGACTAAACCTGGATTAAACAAACTGGATTTGAGCTGAATTCTGGATTTTAGACCAGGTCATGATACGTCCTGTTTGAGTCACCATAGACACAGTCATAAAACAAATAACATGATTCAACAATAGAGTCAACAGATTTACAGGGTACAGCATGACTGTGTTGGTGGAGCTGAAGTTGGTTGGATGAAACTGTCGAAGTGCCTCACTGGCGACTTTGTGTTAGCAGCAGAGGGCCACATGAAATGGCACTGTAGATCCAGGACTGAGGCGGTAGACCCAGGACTGAGGCGGTAGACCCAGGACTGAGGCGGTAGATCCAGAACTGAGGCTGTAGACCCAGGACTGAGGCTGTAGACCCAGGACTGAGGCTGTAGACCCAGGACTGAGGCTGTAGACCCAGGACTGAGGCTGTAGATCCAGGACTGAGGCTGCAGACCCAGGACTGAGGCTGTAGATCCAGGACTGAGGCTGCAGACCCAGGGCTGAGGCTGTAGACCCAGGACTGAGGCTGTAGACCCAGGACTGAGGCTGTAGACCCAGGACTGAGGCTGCAGACCCAGGACTGAGGCTGTAGACCTAGGACTGAGGCTGTAGACCCAGGACTGAGGCTGTAGACTTAGGACTGAGGTTGTAGACCCAGGACTGAGGCGGTAGACCCAGGACTGAGGCTGCAGACCCAGGACTGAGGCTGTAGATCCAGGACTGAGGCTGTAGACCCTGGACTGAGGCTGTAGACCCAGGACTGAGGCTGTAGATCCAGGACTGAGGCTGTAGACCCAGGACTGAGGCTGTAGACCCAGGACTGAGGCTGTAGATCCAGGACTGAGGCTGTAGACCCAGGACTGAGGCTGTAGACCCAGGACTGAGGCTGTAGACCCAGGACTGAGGCTGTAGATCCAGGACTGAGGCTGTAGACCCAGGACTGAGGCTGTAGACCCAGGACTGAGGCTGTAGATCCAGGACTGAGGCTGTAGACCCAGGACTGAGGCTGTAGACCCAGGACTGAGGCTGTAGACCCAGGACTGAGTCTGCAGACCCAGGTTTGTTTATATTTTAGTTAGACATTCTCTCTGCTCTCGCTGGAGCCTAAATCGATTGGGTTCATTCGGGGTAAGTCTTATAAA